TCTTGGTATCAGAAGACTGGTCCCCTTTAACCAAGCTCTTTTGGGAAAATGGATGTGGAGGTACGGGAGGGAAAGACATCGCCCTTGGCGAAGGCTTGCTTCATGCCGATATGGGGAAGAGAGTGGTGGTTGGTCTACTTGTTTGGTCTCTCTCGTGGTAGGAGTAGGGGCGTGAAAATTCATTAGGAAGGGCTGGGATGCTTTTTCTACTCATATCAGATTCAAAGTTCGTGATGGCAGGTGTATACGCTTTTGGGAGGATCTTTGGTGTGGAGACCGGCCTTTATCTTGTTTATTCCCCAGATTATACAATATTGCAGCTGATAGACACGCCTATGTAGCAGACTGTTATCGGCTTGATAGTAGTGGGATTACGTGAGACGTGCAATTTCGACGCTCTTTTCAGGATTGGGAGGTGGACGAGGTATGTATTTTTCTGGATCTGTTGTATCGATAGGAGACAGTTGGCAAAGGTTGTGATGATATGACATGGATTCCCTCTTCCCATGGTTGCTTTGAAGTTCGATCCTTATTCTTATGTCTTTCTGATTTTGATATCGTTGATTTTCTGTGGAAGACTATCTGGCGCTCATGGCTCCAACTAGGGTGGCATTCTTTGTTTGGACCGCTGTATGGGGTAAGATCCTGACAATTGATAATCTAAGGAAAAGGGGTAACTGTCTTGTTAACCGATGTTGCCTTTGCAAACAAGATGGTGAGTCAGTTGCTCATATTCTCATGCATTGTCCTGTGGCGAGGGATTGATGGAATCTTATTTTTTGTCTATTTGGTATGCGTTGGGTTATGCCTCGTTATCCTAAGGATTTGATTCGTATTTGGAGAGGATGCCCCGTGCTTAGTGCTGTTTGCGATTATTGGAGAGTTGTACCACATTGTGTCTGGTGGAGCATTTGGATGGAGAGGAATAGTAGAATGTTCGAAGGGAAAGAATCGTCCGGCGATTCTGAAACTTCATATCATACGCTCTCTTTTCATTTATGTGAAGAGGAAGTCATGTTCCTCTTCCGAAGATTTATTATTTTTTTGGCTTCTTTGGGGCCTTAAACCCCGGTTCCACTTTTGTATAAGGGATGCGTTCCCCTTTTGAACACCTTTTTAATTCAATTATTACTTATCAAAACAAAAAGTACATAATACTGAAGTCGGAAAACTATCTAGTTTTCAGTTTTACAAAAAACAACACACGCAAATAATACATATTAATCTGTACTGAGACCTTAATGTCATAAATTTTTTTTTTTTTTTTCCTAATTGGTACTCACACACTTGCCTTTACCGAGATTCGAACCCTTGACCTCCCTTTGGGAAGTAGGAGCGTAGTACCGCTAGGCCACTGGCCTGTTGGTACCTTAATGTCATAATTGACCATCACGAATATTAATTATTACTCAATTAATGAACAGTAGACAAGCTATACTCAAATAGTGTCCTCTGTATTACATATCATAGGCAATATATTTACATATATATATAATCATTAGATTATGTATATGATCTTTGATCTGTATATAAAATCTCCTCTCTCTCTCTACACACACACACACACATATAATTGTCTCCTTTCTGTCCATCTTTTCCATCCATGTTATCTTTTAATTCACACACACACACACACACACACATATAATTGTCTCCTTTCTGTTCGTCTTTTCCATCCATGTTATCTTTTAATTTGATAAGCATATTCTTAAAATATTGGTTTTAAAGAATGAAGAAATAAGGTTTTTCCCTCTGAAATTGCTCCTTGCTTTCTTGTTTGATTTTTGGATTGAGTTGCCATGTAACAGCATAGAAGATCCAAACCTCCTCTCTCCTTTGTTCTATATATCTTTCTTAACTATATTCTAGTCTTTCACTCTCTAGAAATGCAATTTATTTCTTCTTTCTTCCTTGAGCGGCTTTCATTGGCAAACAGTAACAATATCATCAATTGCCACTCTCTATCTCAAAGCTCATCACTTGTGCCTCGCCCACTACTTTTACAATTTTCATTGGCAGCATTAACTAGACTACACCATTACCACAATTCCTTGTCACGTGCATATTGCAAAGCTTTGTAACAGACTGACATCTATATGGGTCTCTTTGTCTGCCTGCTCTCTCTCTCTCTATATCTGTATTCTATATATAAATTCTTTTCTCTCTACATGCTCCACAGCATGTCCTGTACTTGCACAACAAATTCAAATTATTTGTGGTCTTCTTAGAGAGGGAGGAACAGTGGTCTATCTTTTTAAGGAGGGGTAATAGAGCTTTGTAACAGTTTTGGTTTTTAGAGGCAGATAATAGGAAAGGAGATTGATTTGGGCTTTTAAAGAAGTAGGGGTTGGGCATGGCAGATTTGAGAGAGAATATAGAGAAAGGGAGAGTGGAGAGAAAGAGAGGAGTGGTTCTTTTGCCTATGAGGGTGGCGACACCAGCATTGTGGCCCTGAACAGTTGTGCCATCCTAAGAAGCAGGGACACGGACACGGGTATCGGGGTATGATACGACAAGGATATGCCGACGTTTCAAATTCTTAAAAAATCGGATAGGGACGCAGAGACGGCATGGTAACGGCTAATATAATATGAATTTTCATTTATATATCTAAGAGTAAGATAATTATAATACTTTAATTAATTTATAATTTCTATATTAAAGTTTCATAAGTTAAAAGATGAGGTTATTCAAATATATTATATATGATATTACTCCCCTACCTTGTTATTATAATTATGTTTTTGTTCATTACATAACATGGCATGTGTTTAGTATCATTTTTTAAAGAAACAGTTGGACATTTTGATTTTATTCTCATAATGTTGTTTCTAGGATTGTCATGTATTTATTTTCATAAGATGAAGAGTGTAGGATGCGTTGGTTAAGTATCTGAAATGTGTTAACCAAATGTCTGAGATATGTCAGCCAATTGTCCGAGGTGTGTCGACCAACTATCCAAAATAATAAAAAGTTTTTTAAATTTATGAACACTTTCATGGAATGTTGGACATGTCTCCAGGAGTGTCCATGAAGTGTCAGTGTCCGACAGAGACACGACACCTTCGGAGAAGTGTTTGCGCTTCTTAGGTGCCATCGTTCTTGCACACACTCTAAAACAGCTACCCCCTTCACCCTTAAACCAGCTCCAGTGCATATCTTCCTCCCCCCTTCTCTTTCCTTTCCCCTCTGTTTCCTCTTTTTTAGTAGGGGGGTGCACACGGTCCGGTTTGGACGGTTCCTAGAAATTGGAACCTGAACCGGAACCGTTGGGACAAGGAACTGAACCAAACCGAGAAGACCAGTCCGGTTTGGTTCGGTTCCACGGTTCTCTTTGTATAAAATTTTGTTTACTTCTCTGAAAAAAAGGGGAACAAATACTAAAACATCTAGCATTCATATGCTTCTGTATACTGAAATTTTGTGGAATTTAGTGAGGAAGGAATGTAACCTTCTGTTTTCAGCAATTGTAGTGATAATGATAATGATATTCCATTCTTTACCTAAATTTAGTAATATTGCTTATTTTGTGCACCCCTACTTTTTAGAGTACATGGATGAAGAGATTGTGTTGTTTACGGGGAGGATGAAGGAGAGTATGATGAGGGGGAGAGAAACAGTGAAACATATTATATAATATTAAGGCTACTCGTCTGTTTCAATAAAAAATTAGAACCTTCACTAAGTTTGTCCAGTGTTGGGTGATAAGTAAAGCTCTTTTACTTGAAACTTTTATGCCTTTAAAAGCTCATATATTCAAGTTATAGTTAAATTGAATTATAAAATAATTTAATAGAAATTCACTTAATTTATTCCGTTTTATATACATAAGGAAATATCAAACAGCACCTTAGGTTCTTTTCAAGTTTCTATTTTTCCCCATTGGTGGTGGGTGGTTGGGTGGAGTGCTCTCTCTCTCTCTCTCTCTCTCTCTCTCTCTCAAGAAACAAGGGGTGCCTACCTCTTGTTCTGTATTGCTTGAGATATATATTAGGTTACAGAAAAAGGATCTCCTCGTTTTTTATCCATGCTCACTTTGTTACTTGTAGTTGGACTAGAGAGAGTCCTGACGAAATTATTATGTTCACTAACTCATTACATTTAGCTAACAATGTTCTTTTCATGTTCATAGTTGAGTCTACTTCATCCTGTTACCTTTACCTATATAATCTGTGACATGGATCCTTGCTTACTCTGTGTGTCAATACATTGTGCTGTTTTTAGGAATTGTCGTAACTAACCTGTCTATTTTGTAAGGCATCTTACCTCCATTAGAGGTTGTGTTATTCACGAAAAGACCTAGCATTTGAGAAAGGTATCAAACTTAATGTTCACAAAGGACTGGCTGAAGATTTAATTTGGTTTATATTTTCCAACAATATTGCCTATAGGATCATTTCTGTATCTGTGAGAATTGAAGCTCAACTATTTTTGTTTATAGAAACTTTCTTCTTATTAGTGATCGAATTGATAATGCAAGTTTTCCATCTGGCACAATTTGTGTTCGCCATTTGATCTCTACAGCTCTTATATGGTGTTCCTGTAATTTTGCTACTTCATTGTTATAGTGTGCCCTTTTCTTTTTTCTATTTTGCATTGTAAATGTAAAGAGGTGCTATACACTTGTATGTAATGGAAAATGTATGAATGTTTGTACCAACAATTTTGTGTGACTATTGACTAATGCTTGTCACCACATTTGTTTGACGACATACTTGACGCCAGAACAGAAACAACTAAGTTAGAAGGAAATTAAAAGAAGCTCTTGAAAGTTTGTGCATGAGTTGCATTTGAATTAAATTCATCAGGATTTGGATAGATTTCACTGCACATATGCAGGTATTGACAATATATGGTTTAAAGACAACTCTTTATGCTATGGAAGTGTTGCATTTATAATTGGAGCCCACTTGATAGAAATGTTTCTTAGTTCCTTTTATCTTTGGTTGAATATTTGCCACAATTTTGCTCCTGAATTTGGAACTTTCCCTTAAATGCAGGTTGGTCTTACTGATTCTGTATTCTGATTATAGGCTTGATTCATTATTAACTTTAGTGGAGCCATGGGTCATAGACACTTCAACTCATTCAACACGTTCGAGATAAATCAAGATCTTAACCAAAATCATTTATCTGCAGAGCAGCCTTACATGCACATGGGTACTGGATCCTGAACTCACTCTCTTTTTTTTCGATAATTAGATCTTGAACTGTTTTTGTTTTTAGTGGTATTTGGTTTGGGGGAGGGCATGGACCATGTGCTTGTTCTTCATTTTAGTAATGGAGTGATACAGTAATTCTTCATTTGCTTTCAGTTATCTCTATCCCCCACTATACTGAATTGAGTTGTTTTCTTTTTTTCCACATAATTCAATACAAAGATGGTGGCTAAGGATATTGTATATTTAGAAAACAACCAAAGGAGCCTAATGGTACTTCTTCACCTTCCAAATGAGAAGGTTGAGGGTTCAAGTCTCCAAATAGTGTTTCTTGCAAATGAAAAAATAAATAAAGATATATAGAAAACAACATACTTATCAGATGAATGTTACAGAAATGGGAATGTTGAGTTGGACATCTAGTTAGAAAGTATACATAAGTGAAATGATTGAAGTAGCGTCACTGGAGAGAAAAATGCGTGACGATTGATTAAGATGGTTTTATCATGTGCAACAAATACCAATAATTTAACCCACCCTCGTAGGGAAAGCTTACAATTAACAGAGAAGAAAGATATGGTTGCATGTGTCTTAGCTGAAATTGTGGCCTTGATGAGGCGGAATAGCGAAAAGGGTTTACGTAGCTGATCCCAAATAGTTGCTATAAGGCTATGAATTGAATCGAATCAAAATTCTGCAAAAGTGGAATTATTTGATTTTTACTCTTTTGTTAAACTAAAACATTATTTCATGGGCTCCCAAAATAAAATTTCTAACAATGTTGGCTGCGTGCAGGATATTGGATTCTCTCAAGTCTTCGGTGTGACTAGAAAAATGAATGGGAAAAAAAGAAAAGGATCTCTTTAGAATTTATTTGTTAATTGTTATCCGTTTTTGTCCTTCAAAAGATTTAAATTTTAAGTAATTGAGATTAATAATTGATTTCAAAAGGTTTGGGTTTTTTAAAGAGATAATTGAAATTAGGATGGATTATTTTTTGACCCTTTTTCTTTTTGAATTACCTTTTTGCCAGGAAGGATTCCAGAAAATGGTTCTTTTGTTTATCAAATGGACAATGTGTTACGGGGTGAAGTACAACGTGTTTCTCGATGGAATTCAGATAGCAGAGGGAATGAGCGTCCTCCCTCAAGTGTCAGCACAGAAGTACCGCATTCCCGTCCCGCTTTTTCAGGCTCTTTTTATGATCCCTCCCTACAATCATCAGCTGCTGGACACTTGTACATGGTTCCGGAGAGTAATGCTGGCCATGCAGGAAACTTGTATACGGTCCCAGAGAGTAATGCTGGCCATGCAGGAAACTTGTATACGGTCCCAGAGAGTAATGCTGGCCATGCACAATCTACTTATTACAACTGGCACACTATGCATGAAATTGGGGGTTGTCTACCAGACCCTGTAACTAGCACAGGAAGGGGTCCATTTAAAAGGAAAAGCCCAGGCATTTCTGTAGCAGGTGAAAGAGGCAGCACAAGCAGATTCTATGGTTCTGGAAGTTCCTCTGGAGTTTCTGTGCCAATGCAGGAAAAAACAACTTCAAATTATCAAAATATTATGTCAGGACCCATTGGTTTACCTCATCAAAGGGGTGGTAGCTTCTCAATTGGTGGTGAAGATTCATCAAGGAACGTGAGAAGCCGGTCTGGAATTGAGTTGGAAGCGAACCCAATGAGAACTCATTCATCAAGTTATTCTTTTCATCATTACCATTCAACTACCCGTCCAACAAATTATGCCGGGGCAACAGACCTTACTTACATGAATGCTGATCAAACAACTCGGCAGTGGAACTTTAATCCTCTGTCTCCTGCTGCTCATGGAAGAATACTAAGTGCAGGTTAGTTTGAGCTACTACTTCTTTCTTATTGTTTTTGGTTTTCCTAATCTAAGGCGGTGTTTCACAAACTTGCAGATACAAATGGCTTGAACAATGTGAGCAATCAGTTTCTTGTGAGAGGAAGTGCCGCAGAAACTGGTGGCTACCACCCTGAATTTGTTTCAATTGGAAATCCTGTTTCATCTTCACAATATCCTCATGGTCCCTCCATTCAGGCTGCAAGGGAAGGCTGTGCTAATAATTCTCAAAGAGCAACACCTTCATACAGGGCTGGTCCAAGCTACCCTCGCTTGGGACGTGAAGCAGCTTCTTCAGAAAATGGTCGGCAATTACTTTCAGAAACTTACTCCTCCAGACATTTAAGGCCATCATCTGCTGGAGGATGGCGAAACAGTTACAGGAATGGAAGGTCAAGGATAGCTACTGAGAGATTCCAATCAATTTCTAGTGTGATGGATGCCCACAATAGAATGGGATCTGAGGTGTGCTATTTTCCTTTTAGGTGTTTTCTTTGGTATGAAATATTGAGCGCAAGATCTAGATAATCCATTTGATATCTGTGGTAGCGGGGACTAAGAGCACTGTTTTAGCTTCATGGTTCTTACTTCAGATTTTCCAGTGTGGAACTGAGAGTAGTCAATAAAACTTGATCCATTGTCATCTTATTATTGCATTTTACGCCAATGTTAAACAGGGGCATAGGTGGCACTGTCATAGACTTTTGGTTCAATTTTGATGGGTGTGAGATGATGAGCTCGGGTTGAATAGTCATGACAATGCCTATAGGTGTATGACATGGATGTGTTGATTAGACAGAAGTTCAAATAATTAGCATATCTTTAAATGAAACCTGGAAATGGATCTTCAAGATCAATCTATTTTGGCCACATTTCTCAATTTTTTTCCTTTTTCCTTATTTTTAACATCCATAATCTCCCGTTTTAGATCTACCTTAGGACATGTACAAGATGAATTCTTGGATTTTCCTTTTGGTCTGGGCCCCAGTTATCATATATTTGCCATTTCTTTCATTTGATAAAGCAAGTGCTTTGATGAATGAAATTGGGAATCATTCTATAGAAATTAGAATGACAAATAGGAGATATTGTGTTTGACCATCCCTTATTTATATGATAAGCAAATCATCATCATATTTTCTTTAGCACGAAGTTCAATTAAGAACTGAATAAATCATCATAATCTTGTGAATTTCCTTGACACCCCTTCAATTATTCCAGTTCTGGTCTTCAGACACTAGTAGCAGAAAGAATTTCTTGAAGCTTGCTCTGACACTTAACTAGTCACATCCAATGGCTTAGGCTGCTAATGTACCAATAAATTTTTTTTAAGCACCCTGAATTTTGCATTGGCTTAGCTAGAGATTTTTTGGGAACGGGTTGTGTAATGTGTTGCAGTTCCATTTGAATTCTTTAAGTTATTTGTCAGGTGTTTTCATGATCCTTTGTTTTCCCACACAGGCTCTCATGACGATGGATCGCTCTGCCTTGTATTATGGTTCTAGCAGTTTGTTTGATCAATATAGACACATGAGGCTAGACATCGACGACATGAGTTATGAGGTTATTAACTTGACATTGATTTCCTTCCTTGCTTTTGGTCTTCTCTGTTTCTTAATTATGTTGAATGGTTTTGTACAGGAACTTCTAGCTCTAGAAGAAAGGATAGGGAATGTCAACACGGGCTTGGCTGGAGATATGATTTCAAAGTGTCTGACACAAACAATGCACTGTTCTCTGGATGAAAACCATGAGGAAGGAACCTGTTCTATCTGCCTTGTAAGAAATTACTTTCCTGACTTTTGACTTCCGAGAGAATATATTGCATATGGTTCGGATCTGAAGACAAAAACTTGAGTATATTGCTGTAAAATTTTGGCAAGTGGTATATACAAAAAGTATCTTGCATATCTAGGTGGCCCCATTTAGAATTTAGATATCATTAAAAACCTGTTGCATGTCAACTTGCGATGTGGCCGCATTTCAGTTCTGATATAAGAAGTGAATGGCTGAATGCATATACTTGGGTAGGACATTTGCTGTTTGGAGAGTGCTACACTAGGATATCAGTATTTTTTGGATTTTAGATGGGGGATTTCCTCAATTTTTATTTTTATTTTTTCTTGCTTGAATTAAGACGAGCATATACGGAGTATATAACAAAAGGGTGCTACACTAGTATATCAGTATTTCTTGGCCATCGGGTTCTAATCCTGTCATGTTATTTGATAGGGAAACTTTTTCCTGTAATTGAAACTTCACAAATTCTTAATGGTTATTATTTTGGTATTGTCGCACATTACTTAGACATATAAGTTGAACCTACAACAATAACAACCACTGAACCCTCCTTTCCCAATTATTTGGGGTCGGCTACATGAATCCCATGTTTCCATTCTGCTCTATTTAAGGCCATAGCCTCAGTCAATCCACATGCTATCATATCTTTCTCAACTAACTCTACCCGCATTTACTTTGACCTTCCTTAATGTGGACTATGTCACTTATAAGTTGAACCGACAGGAACTTGAAAAAACCTTAAATGTATAGAAAATGTGCCCTTTCTGAGATCTCCAATTAACCTGCTTTCTTGCTTGCTATTCTGGTTTGACAGGATGAGTACAAGAATGAAGAGGAAATAGGAACCATGAAGAAATGTGGACACAATTACCATGTGGTTTGCATCAGGAAGTGGTTGTCTATGAAGAATGTCTGCCCCATCTGCAAGGCTCCTGCTGTTACAGATTGTTCTAGTGAAGAATAGTCGGATTTACTTTGAATGCAAGTTCCTTTCTTCATTTTTTGTATATATATATACATTATACGCTTACCTTGATGCACATTACTTGGGAAAAATTATCTTAGTTTATAAAATCATTCAATTGTTATCTTATGGCATTTATAAACAAGTGCTCTGTTGCTGGTATTATTTGTGCCTCTAATGTGCCCAAGGATACATGGGGAAAATAAATTATAAGAGTCGCACTCGTCTAGCAGTTAGATGTCAGGAACATTTTGTGGGCTACACTGCAAGACAGTCTTTGATGAATAGAGTCTTTGCTTCATCTGGAAATGTAAAGCCATTGGAGGTCCCCTATGTGGAACAACACGACGCAGTAGCTACACCCAAAGAGCTGAAAGGCTTTCAAGCAAGCTCAAGCTCTTATGAAAGAGGAAGACTGACTCGTACGTTCAATATCAATGGTTTACTTTAGTGGGTCCTATCAATAATTGTCAATTTTTAATGGATGGGTGATATCATGTCGTCAATACATCATTAGTAATAAAGTATTTCTCACTATGAAATTATGAAAAAGGTAAGAGAGACTATCAAGTACAACTGAGCCACTAGAAGTGACGTTTGAAGGAAGCCTTCTTCTGTTGCTCCTCCACATCCATAGGCCTCCATCGATAGTTGGGTATCAGCGCTAATCTTCCTTAAACAGATTCTGTTGCTCCTTGCATCTATAGGCCATTGATAGTCGGGCATCGGTGCTAAGAGGGCAAAACGATCAAGAAATCGGGAGTAGTGATGACATAGTGTTACCAAGTAATTAATGTAGTGATGACATAGTGTTACTAAGTAATTAATTAGTGGCATATAGTTGTAAGATCCACTTAAATATTTGTACAATCATAGATGATGTTGATGACATGGTTCTTGGTGCAAGGAAGAATTTCTCAAACAAGAAATTGATCATAAGATGTAACCTAAGTAAGCTTAAAGAACTTTATATTGATTTTTTAGGATGGGTATTTTTACCCTTCTTATCTGGGTAAAGAGATTTAATGCAGCGGCCACACATCGTACCGGTTTTATTACAATTTTTTTTTATCCCAAGTAACCTACTGTTGCAATTTTTGATGTGCTAAGATGTAAACCTAATTTGGTCTACTTTGCTCGTCACTTCTCTGCTTATATCAATGTGCATTTTTTGTAATGTTCCTGAAAGGTTGGAATTTTTTTTTCTTAGAAGAAATATCTTGTTGAAAAAGGCCCCACCCCACTAATTTGGACCCACGTGGGGAGTTAGCATGATGGACTAGAATTTCTTGTTATTTGAAAAGGTCACGTGCAGCAAATGGACTAGAATCTTTTTTTGGTTGGAGAGGTCATGTGCACCAAAATATGTCGTTTTGGTGCACAGGCACAAGGTCCAATGTTGTTTATGCATTGGGACTCTATGTAGCCACAAACGATTCGTGTTGAGCTCCATGCATGTGCATCAAAACAAAATTTTATGGTTCATGGGACCCTTCAAATAGGAGCACATCCACTTCATTGTAGTATTTCAGCATTTATCTTCTTGGACCACGGAGGAGAATATCTGATAACACTGAGTACTTTCAATTACTAAAACCTTGTTAAAGAATAAAATTCATATACATATTATGAATTCAAATTCAAAAGAAAAAATCAAGTTCAGTTCAAATTGTCCAAATCTTCCTGCGGTTCACTTTCCATGTGAATCTCCTTGGCAAACTAAAATTTCAAAAAAAATATTACATAAAAATAAAATAGTAGTGCCAATCATGGTAGGCAAGAATGGAGGGGCCACTCAGAAGGACATTGCTCTCTTATTCCTTAGAGTATTTCCAACCGTTGTGTATATATTTTTTTTTGTAAATATGATGTGTCATAATAGATTTACACAAAAATTTTAGACTATTTATTTTTAGCTCCAGCGGTTGTTTTATACCTTTTGTGTAAAAATATATCCCCCAATAACAACCAACCAGTGTCATATCTGAACCCCACATAATTTTTACAAACCTACTTAATATAGGGTTAATTAGTTAATAAAATGAAAAAAAAAAAAAAAAAAAAAAAAGGAAGGAGAAAGAAAATATGCTGATGTAATTGTGTAAAAAGATAATTTTACACATTGGTGACGTCGGAGTATATCTTAACATACAATTGGAGATAAGAAAAATTTATCCATCATACGTGATAATGTATATTTTACACAAAAGAGTATTTTAACATACTCCTGGAGATGCTTTTACTTTTCCAGCCCCAAGAAATTAGTTTCTATCAATTTATGCTTATTTGTCATGGATGAGATGAATCAGAGCAAGTGGGATCAGCTTGGCATGGGCTTGTTGCTCAAAAATGATCTGAAAAGAACAAAAGCTTCTCGAGGTCGAAGAAGCGGAACCTCATGTCCTGCACCAGTTACTATTACAAGAGTCAGCCCCTTGTATATTTGGCTCCACCCACCAACCTATGTCACAAAATGAAAAGAAACAAAGTGTGTGAAAAGAAGATCAATAGATTGGGTCATGTACCTTAAAGCACCGTCTCAACAATGGTTAACACCTTATCATCTCAAATAACTCAAAACCATGAAATTTTAAGTGATTATAAGGGAAGAAACTAACGTGATTTTAGTACTGCATTATTTCTATCATTCGCTATGTTTTGATACCATTTTATTGTCGAACACAAAAGCACCATCTGTTGGATTTCATTTCTTGCAAAAAAAGTGACGAGGAAAAGGGGGGGAAAGTAGCAAGAATTAACAACAAAATCCATCATAACGGCAATAACTCCGACCATTATGGCATGAAATTCTTGTTAAAAACAGCATTAGAGGAAATAAGTTAATTCTAAAGAATGCACAAAATAGAAAAAGAAATGGCAATTGCTATTTGTTCTCGTCTTCTCTTTTAACTCACCTTTCCATTGTCATACCACGGGTACCAGTTAGTAATAGTAGGAAGCTTCAAAGCATTGATGGAGTATCTAGTTGCAGCCAGAGGAACCACTGAATCAGTATCCCCACTGGATAAGAAAATAACAATGATCAGATGCCTAATGCATTGGAAACCCAACAAAAAGTGAAGATTGAGATCGTAATGTGAGTCAGCTCTTCACAAGTCCAGAAGTTGTGCTGGCACATACTTATATATCTATGAATGGGGGATTTTGACATCTCAAGGACGATTGGTTGAAATTGGATTGCATAGCATTCACACACACAAGTTAATTTTGCACAAGAGAATAATCTCCGAATACCAATTCTGAACAGAGAACTGATAAAAATCAACCTTAGATGTTTCTTCCAATATGGGCATGCCAGATATTTGTGAAATTAAGATATAAAAGTATAACAGATTAAGCTAAAAATACAAAGTAGTTCTTAAATTTTGATTTAGAAGATGAAATTTTTCAATATTGAGATACCTTACAACTCTCAACAAAAGGGAAGAAGTTCTTCTCAGGTATTCTTGTAAATATTTTTAACTTCAATGAAAGTACTTAAAATTTCCCACTTTTAAACTTATGGATGCACTATGAATAATTTATATAAACAGAAATTCAAAACTGATGTTCCACAACAGCAAAGTGAAACCTTGGTCGTCGCTGAAATTAAAAATTTAGTAACGGGGACTAAATTTGAAAATTCAAAACTGATGTTCCACAACCATATATGTTGGTAAAATTCAATGAATCAACATTAATAAAAAATTAGATATCAACCAAAGAGATTATAGAGAACAGAGCCAGAAACCACGAGTTTTTTCTTCTTTTTATTTTTTTATTTTTTTATATACAAGTACGAGCACACACACCCTCTCCCAACTAGGACACAAACTCTCAACCTCCCGTTTGGGAGGTAGAGATACCAATCAATGATAAAGTTGACTTTTATTCGTATCGAGCATGTAGAAACCACAAAGGAATGCCAAAGAACAAGCAGACGAAATAAGCAAGATGCGTTGTTTTCTAAAGCTTGCCTTAGGGTGATGATATTATAGGATGCCTGAAGACTTCAAAATCAAATTAGGGCATTGATCAGCAAATGTCTCATAAGCACAAGATAGCGCATTGCCTAAAGGTCATTTTCAGGCCTTTTACTCCTCAATTATCTTTTTTAAGGTTTTTTTTTTTTCCTAGTTGTTTTTTTAAGTATTGAACTGACTAACCACCATGTTCTCTGTGATATCTGGCTGTACATGACTTTTTTTTTCTTTTTTTTTTTACTGTGTTTCTTTTTATTATGAATACAATTAGCAATATTTCTTGCTTGGACAATATTCTGCATATTTTGGCATATTTAGATATGAAGTGTTCACATAAATTTATCAATGAAGGAATATTAACCTTTCAAACTGTTTAGTTTTGCTATATCCATCCAAACTATCTAAAAGATGCCTGCAACCCTTTGAACTGACTAAATCTAAAAAAGGTGAAAACTAGTGAACAAGTCTTGATGACTAAAAAGGTTTATTTCCTTATAACCAATCATTTGTGTGTCGGGGCAAGTTTTCATCACAGTGTTTCATTAGAGCATGGTTCAGCCACTTCTAATTTTTTTCTTTACTTTTTTCATTGCCCCTCCCCACTGGGAGCAAAGGACAAATGCTCAATGCTGGTTATAATCCTGTAGAATCTGTAACCACCAATTTCTGAAATTATGATATCAATGATCAGTAGCATATCCTCTATGCATGGACTCCAAGAATTTCAACTACTCTCATACCAAGTTCCAGATCACCAAGGAAATTTCATTATTGTAGTGGAAGATTAAAAAAGGAGATAAAGGGATGTTGTATGGCTGTACCTGAATACCCATATCCTCAGACCAGCAGCTATTAGCTCTCGGTAAATTGGAAGCATGGATAGTGGAGAATCCCCCCAGTAATTACCAACAATATCACTGCAAAGCAAATAAATTTCATCATCAATACTAGAAGTAGAAACCATATATAAAAAAAAACTCTCAACTTCCAAAGGAATGACGCACCTGCATGTATTCCAGGGATAAGGAATCCCAGTTACATTCGCATGGAATGCCTTCTGAACTTCAGGGAGATTGAAGTACACTGGTGAATATCTCTCACTGCAAGGATCATATGCTCTGGACATACATGGCTAAGTTTGAAAGCAACAGAATGAATTCAACAAAAATGAGTCTACTAAAAAAACTAATTAGAAAACAAAATCATATCAACAAATGCCTAAACTGATGAAAGAAATGGGCATTAAAGCCAGAAAAGTGACAAGGTCGCAAGGATAAAGCTATTATAACCCACCTCTACAAAGAAGAAATTGTGAAAGAAATCGGGAAGCCAATTGTTGTAATCAGTGTAGGAAGGAGGGAAGATATGAATAGTGAAACAGTTATGTTTAGGGCAATTGCAAGTTCTGATTATATTTCTGTACTACTGTAATAATTCTTTCTTAAAGACAGGCGTGCTGAAAACTTTCAACTTGCGGTTAGCTATAAATAGCTTTTTTCTTTGTTTTGGTCCCAAAATAAATACATAGGAAAGAATACACAATAATTACAAGATCAAGATGTCATATTCTGATCACCTTAATCTTGTAATTTATTGTCTATTTTTTTCTTTTATATCTCTTCATTTACCAAAAACAGGAAGAAAGGACTATATATAAATAGAGACGTGCTAAAAATTTCCAGCATGACTATCCTCAACATAGGACTACAACAGTAACAAGTTTTTTACAAAAGATTATCAGAATTTGCAATCGCCCCACCACCAGAAACTAAAGGTTGCTTATTATTTCTTTTCTTTTGCTTTTCATGCTCTACAGTATTTTTAAAAGGTGGGTTACTGATATCATTATTACTTCAAGGGCTCCATGCCCGACAACTATCTAGATAATGATTTTCTTTTATGTTCTTCCCTGCCCTTCTATATCTCAACAGCACCAAGTGGTATTCAATTCTTAGACAAAACTTGAGTTAATTCAGACCAGTCGCATGCATGCTGAAGGAAATATAACAAAGAAAGAAGAAACAATGTTTTGGGCATCAGGTCTGGCCTAGATCTACTTCCTAGCTGGTGATGTTGCACGGACGAAAAGGAACTTGGGCCACAAACATAATAGGAGGCAGCTCAGAAGTCAATTGGCATGCTGAGGGGAACAAGCCTTAATGATTGAGAAATTAAACAAGAAGATGCATCGCATATTAAATTTGAAGAATTCCTAACATGTATGTGAATGTTGTAGCTTCAGTATACAACCAGATTCAAATGCATATAATCACATAAACAACTTTTGACAATCAACTCCCAACTCACACCATTTCTATGTTCTCATAATTACAGAAAAGGAGCCAAATTCCTCTTTTCCGAGCATGCACTGCTTTTCCTACCCCCAATTCGTTCATTTTTCTTCCAAAATTATTACCAAAATATAGCTTACCGGGGTGCCATTGAGTTTACTATTGATTGATTACTTGTTAACACTTTAATAAGCAAAGATTTAATAAACACTTACATAATGAACCCTTAAGTTGCGGCTTAGTGATGAAGTATTATTGCAAGGGGGCGTGAAAATGCTATATGGATCAATATTTCCCTGTTCCGTCCCTGAAAGAGTGAGAGCTTTAATGCAATCACTTGAAGGATGTAGAGCGGATCCGTTGCAGGCTATTCGAAGCATTCTATAGGTTGAGTCAGAAACTAAACCATGGGTCCACCAGTACTCAAATGTCCCAATTAAATCATGGTGATCATCGGTAACCGCATTCCCCACCTTGGCAAAAGTGCATGGAAGGAAGAAAAAGTTCACTTTTAAAAATGGTTTTAGAATCAACAACATTGAAATTGAAAGCATACAATTGACAGTGTTCAAAATTATACCATGAAACCCTTGAAATTGATAATAGGGTTCTTAATCCCCTTGTTTCGGTGGTATATAATTTGAGACAACTGGGGAACATAATGACCTGAAACAAACAAATGAAAAGGTGATTTTGCTGATCATCATATTGAGTGCTTATCTCTCTTTATGTGTGTGTGTGTGTGTGGGTGGGTGCTTATATAAGAAATGAACCTGCATAACTATTCCCAGCAATGTAAAAATCTCTATGCTTGTATTGTGGAAACCTTTCAAACCAATTGACAAGAAATGTATATGAATCCTCAGCTGCAAATTCACAACTTGTTAACACCAGAGAAGACAGAATTAAAGAAACTTAAGCTGAAATGAAAAAAAAAAAATTATTAAATCTATTTCCATACTCCCACACACAAGCACATACAGTATTAACAGAGCCATTTAACTATAAATTTCTACAAAATATTATGACTCAATACCTGTTTTCTGGTCACCTGCAGTATATAAATCTGATGTAGTGTTTGTATACGAAAAACCAACACCAGCTGGTGATTCAAGGAAGAGCAAATTTGCCACTGCCAAAGAATGTAAAAGAATACATACATACATATACATATGGAATCAGAAATGCATCTAATAGTTTAAAGAAAACTAGTTTGGAATTGAAGAATATGTAAGTGCCTTGTCAATTATTCACATACATTTGTTCCAAGCATAAGGATTCAAGTAAAGGGTCTTCCCATCAGATTGAATGCGAAAAGGTCCAATCTCTTCAACACTTCCATAAGCTATAGATGAACAACCAGGCCCTCCAGTGAGCCACAACACGAGTGGCCTTGAATCAGCTCCACGACTCGTCGGAGACTCAACCAACCAGTAAAACAATGCCCTCCCAGCTTGCTGATTGACAGTCACATAACCAGAGTACTGAGCAAATCCAGCAATGCTTGGCTGCCCAGGCAACTTTGTGATCCTATCTCTCTCTTGATCTACATTAGAGAGAGAATAACATGGACCAAGAAAAAGGAATGACAGATAAACTGCATAGAAGAGTGAATGACCCATGAATCAACCAATCAAACAGAAAACAAAGCAGACAATCCCAGAAACACAGATCCCAATATATTTTGTGGGTTTCCAAAGAATTTATCTACGCAGACTTAATAGTTAATTTGAGACTGGCATGTGAGGACGTTACTATTTCACATGCACACACGCACTAAATTACCGACAAATCAGTCAAAACAAAAAACAAAAAACATGCATAGAGGATATGCAACTGGTCATTGATATCAAATCACAAAGATATTTCTGAGTGGTTAACGTTTACTTACACTGTTTTTAATTTAGATACATTGAGAATTTGAGAACGATTAGACTTAGTTGCTGGTGAGGTGGGTTTGAATTGACATATACACTCATATTTCTGCTTGTTTGTGCTTACTTTCCACATAACACCATTACTTTCTTGGGTTAGTTTCTGTCGGGCATTTGACCGAACATGTAAGAGGCGCACATGGGTTTGATCAGGTACGCCTTTGATTACGTCTGGGCGGCCAATCAGATATTTTTTTTCAAGCTTTTGGACTAATCAAACACATTAAGGCAGAGAAGACTTTCGTTCAATCTAACTCTATCCAGATCGTACAATGACAAGCCTCATAGGCTCGTCCACTAATTTAGTCTTATCTAGCTGCATTTATATTATGTTTTTTTGCACTCATGCAATAATTCATTCCGGACTAATCAAACACATTAAGGTAGAGAAGACTTTCGTTCAAATCTAACTCTATCCAGATCGTACAATGACAAGCCTCATAGGCTCGTCCACTAATTTAGTCTTATCTAGCTGCATTTATATTATGTTTTTTAGGACTCATGCAATAATTCATTCCATTGCAAGTGCTAAATGCTTGGGGGCTTCGCAGACACTCCTTGAAGGTGTCATGAGAAAAAATAATATCAAAAGTTAAATGTATCTCTCCCAGTGTACTACATATGTCAGGTCTAATTGATTATTGTCATTTTTTATGATTATGTTATTTTGCATACTAAATAGTTTATTCAATTATAGAAGAATCCTTGGTGTGGCTAGAATTGTAGAAAGTAAATAAAATTTATAAATAATTATATAGGTGATTTATAATGGGTAATGCAATTCTAAAAATGAAGTTCTTATGTTTATTACAAAAATAAATAAATAAAAAATTATAAAAAAAAATGAAAAAGAAAAAATTGGGAACATTGGATTACCACCCTTGGATATAGAGACCAAAGAATTTTTTTTAGGGGTGTTAAAGAATAAAAAAAATTGAATTATGAATGTGGCGGCGGTAGAAAATGAAAAAGAAATGATTATCTTTTAGATCCAAAAAAATCAATGACGGCAAGAAAGTGTGTGATCAATTGATAAAAAGTAATATTAAAAATTTTACAAATTAAGAGGGGACATTTTTAAAATTTTAATAAAAAGTATAAGTAACCAGGTCCGTCCTGATCACATGTTACAAGATTTAGCTTCTATGTTTTTTTTTTTTTTCTTTTTTTTCTTTTTTTTTCTTTTTTTTTGCATGATTTAGCGTAATTCAGACCATTAAATTATATCCACATGGAACAGAACCTTATGACATTCATGAAGTGGACAGGATGTACAAATTTGGCATGTATTGAACTAAGGTTAAAAAACTCCTAAGGGACTTATGTGCAAGTTGCTCTTCTGAGTTTTTATTTTTTTTTACTAATATACCATGCTATTTTTTTCTTTTTTTATTATATACGCATAAAATATTACTAATGCTTCCCTGAAATTATTACAAAATTTCGGTCTTGCCTTTCCTACCTAAAGCTCTGGGTCCTTCCCTGTACACGCGCTTACATGGACAGCTACGATGTGCCCGGTGCACTGGGCATATTGTATATTTTTTCCTCCACCGACTAGGAAGAAACTTCTCCAATTCTTTGACAATTTTATCTGAATAGGATTTTTTTTAGGATTATCTGCATTAAACCCCCTTCTTCTTTTTTTATCAAAACACCCCGTCAACCAACTAAGCCGATATTTTTGACTTTTTGCCAAAAATACCTCACCAACTAAGTCAAGGGGGTTTTATTCAATTTAGCCATATTGTGTAAATTTAGCTAAATGATTTTTTTTTTCCCTTCTTTCTTATATAATAATATTTGAACTGGTATTTTTTATTACATGTATTATCATATTTTTAATTACGGAAAAAAAAAAGAAAAAAAAAAAAGGTTAAAAGTAAAATTCATAGTTATGAGGGCAATTACACACTGTCACAATTAATGAAAATATTGGCCACCCTATGACAGACCATGAGTTCATTCCAGGGGCAACTTGTTTAGATTAATTCACAACCATAGTTAAAAAATCTTTTTCAGAAGAGATCTATCTCCTAACTTCCTTAGTCTATTGGGACCTCTAACATTCCAACACCATATCATTGAGATGGGGATTCCCAGGTACGTGATCCCTATGGAAAGAGAGGGTGATACGGCTCCCCGTTTTAAATGTGATTAGGATTAAGAAGTGAATTTGCTTCTTTCGCATGCGACTAAGTTTAGGTAAGTAGATTAACATCTGCAACCTATCCGCATTGCTATTTCTTTAGCATATGTTAGTATAGCAACTCTTACCCTATCCAAATATAATATTGTCCGTTTTTTGCTCCACGTTAACTCTGGAGTTTTGATGGGTTTACAGCCATCACGACTATAAAACGCGTTGTTGTATTATATAAGAGTGTTAAATCTACATATAACACTTGCTCCTTTCACGCCCAGGCGATGTGGGATTGTGTACCTGTAACTTGCTCAATGCGGTAGCCTACTGGTGTCACTTGGACACGCTCATACACACCCGCCTACAAGGTTGCCACATCTAGCATAGTTAAATCTTGCAATAATATCCTTTCCTCTCATTAATTTTTTTTTAATATTCAACCAAACAAAAAAGTGAGAGAAATCTACTATTTTATGCCTTTCAGTTACTTTTTATAATAATGGTATATATAATATATAATGTGAGTAACACAATAAGATTTGAACTTATATGTAGTGGCACTCATAACTATGAATTTTATTTTAATTTGTTTGTTTTATATTTTTCTATAATTAAAAGTATGATGATTCATGTAACAAAAAATATAAGTTCAAATATGATTATTCAATAATAAAAAAAAATAGTTAAATTCACACAATTGAACGAATTGCATAAAACCCCCCTTAAAAAGTCAATAAGTCACCCCCTCATTTAGTTGAGGGGGGTTTTTTGGCAAAAGAATGTAAAAAGGGGTGTATTGCAAAAACAATATAAGTCAAGGGGTCTTTAATTTAATGCAATTTACCCCTATTTTTAAGCACAATGTATATTTAATTTCGAATTAAATCATAAGAAACTTCTGAATTGTGGAATTTTGACATGACAAGAAATTGATCATAAGATGTAACCTAACCTAAGTAAGCTTAATTGGGTAAAGAGATCTATTGCAGTGGCCACACATCTGACCGGTTTTTTTTTTTTTTTTTTTTTTTTTTTTTTTTTTTTTTTAAAGTAAGCTTCTATTGCAATTTTTGATGTGCTAAGATGTAACCTAATCTGATCTATTTTGGTCATTTAAAATCTTTAAATTGAAAAAAATAATCTTGTTTAATATTATAAAGCAGCATGGTTATGAAGTTAGCTTGTCACTTCTCCATTTATATCAATATGCATTGGCCTTTTGTAATGTTCCTAAAAGGTTGGGAATTTTTTTTCCTTAAAAGCAAAATCTTGTTGAAAAAGCCCCACCCCACTAATTTGGACCCATCCGAGAACGAGTTAGCATTATAGACTAGAATTTCCTCTTGTTTGGAAAGGTCACGTGCACTAAATGGACCAGAATCTTCTCTAAGTTGGAGAGGTCGTGTGCACCAAATGATGTCGTTTGGTGCACAGACACAGTATCCAATGTTGTTCATGCATTGGGATTCTATGCAGTCACATACGATTCGTGTTAGGCTCCATGCTTGTGCATCAAAACGAAGTTGTATGATTCGCAAGACCCTCCAAATAGGAGGGGATCCACTTCATTGTAGTACTTCAGCATTTGTTCTTTCAAATCAGAGTGGTAAATTTATGCTTTAAACTTGGCTGATGGCTAATCTTCTTGGACCATTGAGGAGAATATCTGATAACATGAGCATTTTCAATTACTAAAACCTTGTAAAAGAAAATAATTCATATACATATTATGAATTCAAATTCAGGAGAAAAAATCAAGTTCAGTTCAAATTGTCTAAATCTTCCTGCACTTCACTTTCCATGTGAATCTCCTAACAATGGCAAACTAAAACTTGAAAAAATATTAAATACAAATAAAATAGTAGTGCCAATCATGGTAGGCAAGAATGGAGGGGCCACTCAGAGGGACAATGCTCTGTTATTCCTTACTTTTCCAGCCCAAAGAAATTAGTTTCTATCAATTTCTGCTTATTTGTCATGGATGAGATGAATCAGAGCAAGTGGGATCAGCTTGGCATGGGCTTGTTGTTCAAAAATGATCTGAAAAGAATAAAAGCTTGTCGAGGTCGATGAAGGGGAACCTCATGTCCTGCACCAGTTACTGTTACAAGAGTCAGTCCCTTGTATATTTGGCTCCACCCACCAACCTATGTCACAAAATGAAAAGAAACAGTGTGTGTGAAAAGAAGATCAAAAGGTTGTGTCATGTACCTTAAAGCACTGTCTCAACAATGGTTAACACCTTTACATCATCAAATAACTCAAAACCATGAAATTTTAAGTGATTATAAGGGAAGAAACTATCGTGATTTTAGTACTGCATTATTTCTATCATTCGCTATGTTTTGATACCATTTTATTGACGAACACAAACACTCTATCTGTGAAGTAGCAAGAATTAATAACAAAAACAAAATCCATCATACTGGCAATAACTAAGACCATTACGGTATAAAACTCTTGTTAAAAAACCATCATTAGAGGAAATAATTTAATCCTAAAGAATGCACAAAATAGAAAAAGAAATGGCAGCAATTGCTATTTGTTCTCGTCTTCTCTTTTAACTAACCTTTCCATTGTCATACCACGGGTACCAGTTAGTAATAGTAGGAAGCTTCAAAGCATCGATGGAGTATCTAGTTGCAGTCACAGGAACCACTGAATCAGTATCCCCACTGGAGAAGAAAATAACAATGATCAGATGCCAAATGCATTGGAAACCTAACAAAAAGTGAAGATTGAGATCGTAAATGTGAGTCAACTCTTCACGATTCCAGCAGTTGTGCTGGCACATGCTTATATATATATATATATATATGAATGGGGGATTTTGACATCTCAAGGAAGATGGTTGAAATTGGATTCTACAGCATTCGCACACGCAAGTTAATTTTGCACAAGAGAACAATCTCCGAATACCACTTCTGAATAGAGAACTGATAAAACTCAACCTTAGATGTTTCTTCCAATATGGGCATGCCAGATATTTGTGAAATTAAGATATACTTTATCTAAGCTATAAAAGTATAATAGATTAAACTAAAAATACAACGTAGGGCTTAAATTTTGATCAAGAAGATGAAAATTTTCAATATTGAGATACCTTACAACTCTCAACAAAAGGGAATAAGTTCTTCTCAGGTATTCTTGTAAATATTTTTAACTTCAATAAAAGTACATAAAATTTTATCAGATACCGAGATTTCATATCAAAATTGAATAGGAGAGCTAAATCATTCAAACTAGATTTGGTGATTGATCGTACGGACCTGGTTAGTTTTCCCAGTAACATAAAATTATAATAGCCTCTTTGCTAAGATGGCCATGCCAGAGTCAAAAATGCCATTCTGTGTAGCAAATCCTGCTTCCCAAATTTCCCACTTCTTAAACTTATGGATGCACTATGAATAATTTATATAAACAGAAATTCAAAATCGATGTTCCACAACAGCAAAGTGAAACCTTGGTCGTCGCTGAAATTAAAAATTTAATAACAAGGAATAAATTTAAAAATTCAAAACTGAACGTTCCACAACCATATATGTTGGTAAAATTCAACGAATCAACATTAATAAAAAAAAATAGATATCAACCAAAAAGATTATAGAGAACAGAGCCAGAAACCACAAGTTTTTTCTTCTTTTTTTCTTATATACAAGTACAAACACACACACGACCTCTCCCAACTAGGACACAAACTCTCAACCTCCCATTTGGGAGGTGGAGATACCAATCAGTGATAAAGTTGACTTTTATTCGTATCGAGCATGTAGAAACCACAAAGGAATGCCAAAGAACAAACAGACGAAATAGGCAAGATGCGCTGTTTTCTAAAGCTTGCCTTAGGGTGATGATATTATAGGATGCCTGAAGGCTTCAAAATCACATTAGGGCATTGATCGGAAAATGTCTCATAAGCACAAGATAGTGCATTGCCTAAAGGTACATTTACAGGCCTTTTTCTCCTCAATTATCTTTTTTATGTATTGAACTGACTAACCACCATGTTCTCTGTGATATCTGGCTGTATATGACTTTTTTCTTTTTCTTTTTTTTCACTTTGCTTCTTTTTATTATGAATACAATTAGCAATATTTCTTGCTTGGACAATATTCTGCATATTTTGGCATATTTAGATATGGAGTGTTCACATAAATTTATCAATTATGGAATATTAACCTTTCAAACTGTTTAGTTTTGCTATATCCATCCAAACTAACTAAAAGATGCCTCGCAACACTTTGAACTGACTAAAGTTAAAAAGGGGAAAACTAGTAAACAAGTCTTGATGACCAAAATTGTTTATTTCCTTATAGCCAATCATATGTGTGTCTGGGCAAAGTTTTCATCAGTCTCATTATAGCATGGTTCAGCCACTTTTTTTTTTTTTTTTTTTTCTTTGCTTTTTCATTTCCCCTCTCCACTGAGGGTAAAAGAACAAATGCACAATGCTGGTTATAATCTGGTAGAACCTGTGACCATCAATTTCTGAAATTTTGACATCAACTACCAGAAGTATAATAGCATATCCTCTATGCATGGGGACTCCAAGAACTTCAACTACTCTCATACCAAGTTCCAGATGACCAAGGAAACTTCATTACTGTAGTGGAAGATTAAAAAAGGAGATAAAGGGATGTTGTATGGCTGTACCTGAATACCCATATCCTCAGACCAGCAGCTATTAGTTCTCGGTAAATTGGAAGCATGGATAGTGGAGAATCCGCCCAGTAATTACCAACAATATCACTGCAAAGCAAAGAAATTTCATCATCAATACTAGAAGTAGAAACTATATAAAATATCCTCTCAACTTCCAAAGGTATGACGCACCTGCATGTTTTCCAGGGATAAGGAATCCCAGTTACATTCGCATGGAATGCCTTCTGAACTTCAGGGAGATTGAAGTACTCTTGTGAATATCTCTCACTGCAAGGATCGTATGCTCTGGACATCCATGGCTAAGTTTGAAAGCAACAGAACGAGTTCAACAAAAATGAATCTACTAAAAAAACTAATTAGAAAACAAAATCATATCAACAAATGCCTAAACTGATGAAAGAAATGGACATTAAAGCCAGAAATGTGACACGCCCGCAAGGATAAAGCTAGTATAACCCACCTCTACCAGGAAGATATCGTGAAAGAAATCGGGAAGCCAATTGTAGTAATCAGTTTAGGAAGGAGGGAAGATATGAATACTGAAACAGTTACATTTAGGGAAATTGCAAGTTCTGATTATATTTCTGTAGCACTGTTATAATTCTTTCTTAAAGACAGGCGTGCTAAAAACTTTCAACTTGCTGTTAGCTATACATAGCTTTTTTCTTTCTTTTGGTGCCAAAATAAATACATAGGAAAGAATACACAATAATTACAAGATCAAGATGTCATATTCTGATCACCTTAATCTTGTAATTTATTGTCTATTTTTTTCTTTTATATCTCTTCATTTACCAAAAACAGAAAGAAAGAAAGAAAGGACTATATATAAATAGATACATGCTGAAAATTTCCAGCATGACTATCCTTAACATTGGACTACAACAGTAGCAAGTTCTTTACAAAAGATTATCAGAATTTGCAGTAGCCCCACCACCAGAAACTTAAGATTGCTTATTATTTCTTTTCTTTTGCTTTTCATGCTCTACAGTATTTTTAAAAGGTGGGTAACTGATATCATTATTACTTCAAGGGCTCCATGCCCGACAACTATCTAGATAGATGATTTTCTTTTATGTTCTTCCATGCCCTTCTATATCTCAACAGCACCAAGTGGTATTCAATTCTTAGACAAAGCTTGAGTTAATTCAGACAAGTCTCATGCATGCTGAAGGAAATATAACAAAGAAAGAAGAAACAATGTTTTGGGCATCAGGTCTGACCTAGATCTACTTCCTAGCTGGTGATGTTGCATGGACGAAAAGGAACTTGGGCCACAAACATAATAAGAGGCAGCTCAGAAGTCAATTGGCATTCTGAGGGGAACAAGCCTTAATGATTGAGAAATTAAACTAGAATATAAATTGCATATTAAATTTGAAGAATTCCTAACATGTATGTGAATGTTGTAGCTTGAGTATGCAACCAGATTCAAATGCATGTAATCACATAAACAACTTTTGACAATCAAATCCCAACTCACACCATTTCTATATTGTCAGAAAGAGGCAAATTCCTCTTTTTCGAGCATGCACTGCTTTTCCTACCCCAATTCGTTCATTTTTCTTCTAAAATTATTACCAAAATATGGCTTACTGGGGTGCCATTGAGTTTACTATTGATTAATTACTTGTTAACACTTCAATAAGCAAAGATTTAATAAACACTTACATAATGACCCCTTAAGTTGCGGCTTAGTGATGAAGTATTATTGCAAGGGCGCGTGAAAATGCTATATGGATCAATATTTCCCTGTTCCGTCTCTGCAAGAGTGAGAGCTTTGACGCAATCACTTGAAGGATGTTGAGAAGATCCAAAGTCGCAGGCTATTTGAAGCATTCTATAGGTTGAGTCCGAAACTAAACCATGGGTCCACCAGTACTCAAATGTCCCAATATAATCATGGTAATCATCGGTAACCGCATTCCCCACCTTGGCAAAAGTGCATGGAAGAAAGAAAAAGTTCCCTTTTAAAAATGGTTTTATAAGCAAAAACATTGAAATTGAAAGCATACAATTGACAATTTTCAAAATTATACCATGAAACCCTTGAAATTAATAATAGGGTTCTTAATCCCCTTGTTTCTGTGGTATATAATTTGAGACAACTGGGGAACATAATGACCTGAAACAAACAAATGAAAAGGTGATTTTGCTGATCATCATATTGAGTGCTTATCTCTCTTTATATATATGTGTGTGTGTCGCTTATATAAGAAATGAACCTGCATAACTTTCCCCAGCAATGTAAAAATCTCTATGCTTGTATTGTGGAAACCTTTCAAACCAATTGACAAGAAATATATATGAATCCTCAGCTGCAAATTCACAACTTGTTAACACCAGAGAAGACAGAATTAAAGAAACTTAAGCCGAAACGAAAAAAATATATATTATGAAATCTATTTCCATGCTCCCACACACAAGCACATACAGTATTAACAGAGACATTTAACTATAAATTTCTACAAAATATTATGACTCAATACCTGTTTTCTGGTCACCTGCAGTATATAAATCTGATGTCGTGTTTGTATACGAAAAACCAACACCAGCTGGTGATTCAAGGAAGAGCAAATTTGCCACTGCCAAAGAATGTAAAAGAATATATTTATTCTATGGAATCAGAAATGCATCGAATAGTTTAAAGAAAACTACTTTGGAATTGAAAAATATGTAAGTGCCTTATCAATTATTCACATACATTTGTTCCAAGCATAAGGATTCAAGTAAAGGGTCTTCCCATCAGATTGAATGCGAAAAGGTCCGATCTCTTCAGCACCTCCATAAGCTACAGATGAACAACCAGGCCCTCCATTGAGCCACAACACGAGTGGCCTTGAATCAGCTCCACGACTCGTCGGAGACTCAACCAACCAGTAAAACAATGCCCTCCCAGCTTGCTGATTGACAGTCACATAACCAGAGTACTGAGCAAATCCAGCAATGCTTGGCTGCCCAGGCAACTTTGTGATCCTATCTCTCTCTTGATCTACATTAGAGAGAGAATAACATGGACCAAGAAAAATGAATGACAGATAAACTGCATAGAACAGTGAGTGACCCATGAATCAACCAATCAAACAGAAAAGAACAAAAGAAACAATACCCAGAAACACTGATCCCCAAAAAATTCTGAATTTTCAAAGAATTTATCTAAAGAGGAAAAAAAATGATGAGATTGTGAAATTCTAGATTGAGAGAGTGGCTGACATCCATATGGGTAGTTTATGAACCAATCAATCAATAAGAAAATAAAGCAGACAATCCCAGAAACACAGATCCCAATATATTTTGTGGGTTTCCAAAGAATTTATCTACGCAGACTTGATAGTTAATATGAGACTGGCATGTGAGGATGTTACTATTTCACACACACACTAAATTACGGATAAATCAGTCAAACAAAAACAAAAACAAAAAACAATAAGTAACCAGATAGACAAATCACAAAAAAAATTGTGAGTGGTTGACGTTTACTTACACTGTTTTTAATTTAGATACATTGAGAATGATTAGAATTAGTTGCTTAGTGAGGTGGGTTTGAATTGACATATACACTCACATTTCTGTTTGTTTGTGCTTACTTTCCTCAAAACACCATTAATTTCTTGGGTTAGTTTCACTCGCGCATTTGACCGAATATGGAAGAGGCGCACATGGGGTTGGTCAGGTACGCCATTGATTACGTCTGGGCGGCCATCAAGATCAGATATTTTTTCCAAGCTTTTGGACTAATCAAACACATTAAGCACAAAAAGAAAGAAAAAGGTGTGAAGCCTTTTTAACTGAATCTAAAGAAAGTGCTGAAAAAAATAACAGACTCGATAGTTGAATACTAATAAAGATGTCATTTTATTATAAAAAAAAAAATATGGTGGGTCACAATTAACTTTTTGGACTTATATTTCCTTGCAACGTCTAATTCGGACCAAAATTCTCTTCTACGATTCCATCAAATTTGGAAAGCACCTTACAAAAAAAAAAAAGTTTTGTGATGGAACCGAACAGGAGAGAATTTTGTTCTCATATAATTATCTCCGGATCCTCCAATGACAGGCCTCCTACACTAATCTAGTCTTTTCTCGCTGTATTTATATTGTGTTTTTTGGACTCATGCAATAATTCATTCCATTGCAAGTATAAATGCTTGGGGCTTCACAGGCACTCCTTGGAGGTGTCATGAGAAAAAATAATATCAAAAGTTAAATGTATCTCTGCCAGTGTACTACATATGTTAGGTCTAATTGATTATTGTCATTTTTATGAATAAGTTATTTTGTATATTGGAATAATCATAGGAGGAAATTCTTGGAGAGGGCAGAATTGTAGAAAGTAAATAAATTTTATAAATAATTATATAGGCAATGTATGGTAATGCAATTCTAAAAATGAAGTTCTTATGTTTATTACAAAAATAAATAAATTAAAAATTATAATAATTGGGAACATTGGATTACCACCCTTGGATATAGTATTGGTTTTCATGGTTATGTCACAAGATTTAGTTTAATTCAGACCATTAAATTATGTCCACGTGAAACAGGACCTTATGACAATTATGAAGTGGTCTGACATGGATGTACAAAATTGGCCTGTATTGAACTAAGGTCAAAAAACTCCTACTAGAGTAAACTAAACAACACTCTAATCAATTAAGTACAACATGTGAGCATGTAGGAGCATGTGAAAGGAAGAGGCGTGCAGGGACAATGAACCCTTCCTACACCAGGATAAAATATACAATGTGCCTAGTGCTTGGGACAAATTTTTATTAATATATCATGCAATTTTTTTTATTATATATTCATAAAATATTGCTAATGCTTTTTAAAAATATTACAAAATTTTAGTCTTGTCCCACCTCCTTACCTAAAACTCTAGGTCTGTCCCTATACACGAGCCTATATAAACAACTACGATGTGCTCGGTGTATATTTTTCCTCCAACGGACTAGGAAAAAACTTCTCCAATTCTTTGACAATTTTATCTGAACATTATAAGGATTTATTTTAGGGTTATATGCATTAAAGCCCCTTGATTTGCAACGTCTCATTTTTTTTTTTTTTTTAATCAAAACAACCCCCTCAACTAAGTGAGCGAATATTTTTTACTTTTTGCAAAAAATATCTCACCAACCAAGTCATGGGGGGTTTATACAATTAGCCAAATTATGTGAATTTAGCTAAAAGATTTTTTTTTTCTTCTTTCTTAAATAATAATATTTGAACTAATATTTTTTGTTACACGCATCAACATATTTTTAATTAAAAAAATTAATAAAGGTTAAAACTAAAATTCATAGTTATGAGTGCAATTACACACTCTCACAATTATGTTGCGTTTGGTGTGCAAGAATAGAATGGAATGTTCATTCTAATAATTTATTTGTTTGGTATGCAATTTAAAGAATGAATGGTCATTCCATTTGAATGAAAATCCATTCCACAACTAAACCTATGGAATGGTTATTCCATTCCCAAGTAATTTTCTTTTAAAAATAAACTTTCCAAAAAACATTCATGTTCCAGGTCCAAAAACCACCATTACCTTCTACCACAACCACTTCTACCTTTCACCACCACCACTACTACCACCACTTTCTACCGCCGCCGCTGCCACCACCAACTTTCACTATCACCCATCGCTTTCCACTACTACCATGTACCGCCACCGCCTTTCAACACCGCTACCGCCACCACTCCCACTGCAATTGCCTTTCACCACAGCAACCACTTCCCACCACCACCGTTATCGCCTTCCATCACCACCGTCGCCATCTCCTTTCACTACCGCCACCACCACAGCTACCACCTTCCACTACCGCCGCCGCCATCGCCTTTCACTACCGCCGCCGCCACTACTACCACCTTCCACAGCCGCCACCGTCTTCCATTGCCACCACCTTACACCACCACCATCACCGCCGCCACCACTGCCATCCACCAACACCACACCGCTGCCTTCTACCACTACCGTTGCCTTCCACCACCACCACCACTTTCACTGCCTTCCACCACCACCTTCGCCACCGCCTTCCACCGCCACCACTACCACCACCGCCACCGCTGTCTTCCACCACCACCACTGTCTTCCACCACCTCTACCTTCCAACACCACCACCACCACCTTCCACCACCGCCACTTCCATTACCTTCCACTACTACCACGTATAATCACTTCCGTTGGCTTCCACCACCGCTACCTACACCATTATCTTCTTCCATCACCACCACCACACTACTACCATCGATTTCCACCAACACCATTACCTTCCACCATTGCCACTGTCGCCGCCGCCGCCTTCCACCACCACCTACACTACTATCACTTTCCTCCTTCACCACCATCCACCACCACCACTACCGCCATTTGTTTTTAAAAAATTATTAGAGAACGTCATTTTGTTAATTTAATTTATTTGTTACTAAGAATGATATTTTGTAGAATTCAATTTAAAATTTATTCCATTTTAAATTTTAAATCGGTCAAACCAAACACTAGAATGGTTATTATCATTTCATTCCTACGCATTTCATATTTACAACCAAACAATAGAATGAGAATGACCATTCAATTCCCACTTGTATTCTATTCCATTTCTATACACCAAACGCAACATTAATGAAAGTATTGGCCACCTTTTGACCAACCTCCGCGAGTAAATCATTCCAGTGGCAACTTGTTGAGATTAATTCACAACCATAGTTAAAAAAATCTTTTTTCCAGAAGAGATCCATCTCCTAACTTCATTCTACATTTGAGGTATATTCGGACCTCTAACGTTCCAACACTCTATTATTGAGGTGGGGATTGCCAGGAACGTGATCCCCATGGGAAGAAAGGGGTGATACGGCTCCTCGTTTTAAATGTGATTAAGATTAATAAGTAAATTCGCTTCTTTAGCCGCTTTGAGAAACTTGCCTCTTTGAGCATATCTCACTTCCTCTCCTTCGCATACGACTAAGTTCAGGTAAGCAGATTGACATCATGCTTTTAGGATAGAAATTAAGCCATTCATTCCAAGTGACATCTGCAACTTATAAGCATTGTTATTTTTTTAGCATATGTCTAGTGTAGCAATCTTTACCCTATTCAGACACAATATTATCCATTTTTGCTCCCAACACGCTTAACTCTGGAATTCTGATGGATTTACAGCCATCACGGCTTTTAAAATACGTTGTATCATAAAAGGGTGTTAAATTTACATATAACACTTACTCTTTTCACACCCAAGCGATGTGGGATTATGTACCTGCAACTCGCCCAGTGTGGTAGCTTACTGGTATCACTTGCACACACTCACACACACCTGCCCATAAGGTTGCCACATCTACCATAGTTAAATCTTGCAATATCATTTCCTCTCATAATTTTTTTTTCATATTCAACCAAACAAAAAAAGAGAGAAGTCTACTATTTTATACCTTTCAATTACTTTTTATAATAATGGTATATATAATATACAATTTGAGTAAACATATAAGATTTGAACTTACATGTAGTTGCACTCATAACTATAAATTTTATTTTAATTTTTAATTTTATATTTTTCTATAATTAAAAGTATAATGATCCATGTAACAAAAAAATATAAGTTCAAATATGATTATTCAATATAAAGATTAGTTAAATTCACACAATAGGACGAATTGCCATAAACCCCACCTTAAAAAGCCAAATAAGTAACCCCCTCATTTAGTTGAGGTTGTTTTTTTGGCAAAAGAATGTAAAAAGGGATGTATTGCAAAACACTATAAGTCAAGGGGACTTTAATTTGACACAGTTTACCCCTATTTTTAAGCACAATGTATAGTTCATTTCGAATTAAGTCATAAGAAACTTTGAAATTTTGGAATAGACTAATAAAAAAAAATATTTTTTAAGCACAATGTATATATTTCATTTCGAATTAAGTCATAAGAAATTTTAGAATTTTGGAATAGACTAATAAAAAAAATCATTATTAATACAAATATATCTCAAATTAAACACCACAAAATGGTGAAATAGTGTCAATCAACGTTGTATGAATCAAACCTCTCCCTCAGCAATTCTCCTGTTAATGTGGTTGGTAAAAATTTACTAATTTTAATGGTGAATTTCACTATTATAATTGTAAAATTTTACTAATTTGTTTCTCTTATTTTTGAAATTTAATCACTATAGTGGTGAAATTCACCGATAATAAAAAACAATGAGAAATTTTTACTGGTCAGTAAAGTTCGTACACTAGAGCATCTCGAGAGAGTTTTAGTCCTCTTTCATAATTGTAAAATTTTACTAATTTGTATTCTCTTATTTTTGAAATTTAATCACTATAGTGGTGAAATTCACCAATAATAAAAAACAATGAGAAATTTTTACTGGTCAGTAAAGTTCATACACTAGAGCATTTCGAGAGAGTTTTTAGTCATCTAT